TTTTCGTCCGATTGGTCTCGTGTAGTCAACCTTGCGCTACCGTCTACCAAGCTAGCACTGCGGTCCGCGTCACCGTACTGCGCACGAATATACCTACTGTTGAGTAGGAGGAAGCCAATCGAGCTGAAACCTTCTGATTTGAGAGAACACTGTAGCATCTTAGTTGTCCCAAATGATGAGGTTTTGGGAGAACGTTGAACCGTTTTCGCATTTTCTCATCGTTCTCCGGCATTGAAATCCACCAGGGATCGGCTTATTCGGATCCTTGGTATGCTACCATCTCGCGGGAATCCCTACCTCCGTGCTTACTCACCGGCGAATATACGCAAGTACGTTCTGTTCGAAAGATTCAAGTTTTCAAGATTTCAGTGCCGCCTGTGTGGTGCGAAAGGCCCTCAGCCGAAAGGAACTGAATCCATCGTCAATTCCGTTCAGATGGCGTGTGCTACATCATGAGCCCTTCAACGTGGGAATCCTACTTACAAATGGTGGAGATATTTCCCTTCGGAACTCGCAGGTTGACACAGCGGACTTCACGCCCAGCTAAGGGAAGCGACTACATACGCTGATCGCTGTAGTAGCAACGACTCTAGCGCCAACAGTTTCCTTGGATGAATCTGATTCGCTCGCACCAACACTTTGGTATTTGCGCCCAGTCTGACTCTTTGGTGTTGAAAGACACTTCTCCAACATCCGAGACTATCATTCACGCGACCCATGATTTCCTCGTCTGTCGTGGTTCACGCTGCTACATGACTGTCGCAAATACACGACAGACTCGTGCGCTGGGAACACAAACACGATACTGTATGTTAGAAAGTCAGTATCGAGCCTAGAATACAATCGATTAACTCATGCATTCATGAGATCAATGCTCATCACCGGCGGCTGAACTTGGGAAACGCCAGCCTGGACGAGGTGGATCCGGCCGAGCCTGAGAACACATGACTCTTCCCTCCGCATAGTGTCAGTGGGCCTTACTATGAGCCGAAGACGTGTGGAGTTTCGAAGCTGTTTTGCGACTGGGTAATGCGAATTTGGACCCAACACTCGACACCGATGGAGCCAAGAAGCTCTTGCTTTCGTGGAAGGAAGGCATCTGACAGTGGTATCAGCAGGCAAGTTCATACCATTCCTTCCGTACTTCGAAGGCTACTCTGTCACCAGCAACCGATCCTCCTGCCACCGATGCGGGCGCACCTCTCTTACTCTCGTTCCGAGACCTGAGGCGGATCAATCCATGGATGGTGCCGACACCCAAACGAGTGGAGGCATGGCACTTCACCTTGTTTGGCGAGAAGGAAGCCTAAAGGCAGTGCGGCCACTCTCTGACCGTCCTGCAAATGGTACAGTCTAAAAGGAAGAAGCGAACTCTCATTCCAGCGCCCTTCAGGGATTGATGAGACTAACCTTAGGGACTAGCTCAAGCGCTGCTGGAGGCAGTGGGGTCGTCTCAGGATCGGAGAGAAGCACAGCGCTCGTACTCCCTATATAAGAGATTCGTTCAAATGACGGATCGTTGAAGCATGTCATTAGTTCACCTATGAGATCCACAACACCATAGAGAGGCTTTCCAGTGGGAATGCTTCGTGGGCCATCAGCCACTACGGCACCATCAACGAGGATGAAAAGTTGGTCCACTGGAGACTTCGAGACTAGGAGACCGACCTTCTGACCTGAACGGTCGAGCCACGAGCTCACCACATGAAAATAATACCCTCCTCATAACCCTTTTAAACCATTGCATTCGTGTGTGAACCTCCCGATTCGGGAGGTTACAACATATCCCGATTCGGGAGTATCCCCCTCCCACACGAGGTTCCACATTCGGGAGTCCCGAATGTGGCCACAGCCTATGTCGATTACTCAGCCATCAGAGGTGGCGAGAGACACATTCAGAGAAGTTTTTGTTCAACTGACGCGGCGCACGAACATTGCACAGCTATGATAGCAGATTCAGATGTCCCCGCGTATTCCCGGAACTTATATCTCAATGGTAACGCCAAACAGGTCCGTTGTTTCACTTTCCGCTTTCTCACCTGCTCTGAGATCCTTGCCACTCCAATCACAAGTAGCCCAGTCGTTGAGTATCTAAAAGTT